TACAGCGAACCTTGCCAAGTGTGAGTTTGCTAGGGCCACTTTGACTTACTTGGGTAAGGTGGCTGGACAGGGACAGGTACATCCAGTAAGAGCTAAAGTGGAAGCTACTGATCACTTCAATTCTCCCACTACTGAGAAAGAACTTCCACACTTTCTTGGAATGGTGGGTTATTATTGTGGGTTTTGTGAGAATTTCTCTGCAGTGGTTGCTCCTCTAACTGACTCCTTAAGTCCCAAGGTTATGTTCCAGTGGTCAGATCATTATCAGACAATCTTTGAGGATATCAAGGCTATCCTTGCCTCTGCTCCAGGGCTTGAGAGACCCCATCTCAGAGATTCTTTCAAGCTGAAGGTAGACGCTAGCAAAGTGGATGCTGGGGCAGTATTGTTGCATCAGGATGGAGCAGGTATTGAGCTACTTCTCCCACAAGTTTTATTCCTTGGTGAGGGATGTTGGTGAGTAGCAGAGTTGGTGTAAATAGGAACTGAGTTTTCACTGGTGCACTGATAAGCACATTTGAACTTCATGTGACTCATGGGTAGCGCTGTCAATTGTTCTCATTTCACCCCTGACTTGCTGACATTTCTGTTTCCACCTTTTGTAAATAAATTTTAATAAATAATCATATCTTTATATTGTTCATATCTTCGTTGTGTAAACTCCTTTTTGTTGCAAGCAAGAGTAAGGTGATGCAACAGAGATTGTGTTTTGGACAAAAACAGTGAAGATTACACAATGAAATAAGTCTTTATCTAAAAAGTTTTTAATTAAACAGCCTACACAAAACATCAGCATCATAATAGAAACAGGAAATGATACGATACAGCAGTGAGAGCTAAAACCTTTTGTGATTTAGCAGTCCAACTTCCCCATTATGTGTCAGACGGGAAAAAAAAAAACAATTTCCACTGTTGTCTTCCTCAGATTAATAGCACTTGAAGCGCATCCACTCTGAGTTCAGGCCATTTTCATGTCTCAAGGAAAAACTTATGAAAGAGGTAAGACTCTGTTTATAAACCCTAACAATATTATTTGCGTTTACTGGAGAGAAAAAATATGACACAAATGTGGTCACATTAAATCAAAAAATCTGTTATTTTGCTTTAAAGCTGTTGAGATGTAGCTGACATTAAAACACACACTTAAAAAAAATCTCAGGATTAAAATCCAAATCAGTTAAGCAGTATCAAGGTTTTTCTCAGAACTAGATTTTGTAATGATGGAAACCTAGCACACTGAACTGTCTTATATTTATTTTTATTATCTATGTTGCATTTATATGTTGTTTGCTCTTTGGTTTTTTGAGAGTAATATTGATGTCAATGGCCAAGAAAATGCTTTTTTTTATAAGAAAGCTATAGATGATTGGTTTTGAAAATACAAATCAAATTTTGTACAATTCAAGGAAAAAAAAAATTGTGCTACTTAGATGAAACCCTCGAGCTGGCTGAGCCAGTGTCCATTAGATAATCCAGCCCATACTGTCACCAAAGCAAGTAGCTCCATTTTGTAATGGTTAACTCATTTCCCTTTCAAGTCAAGTTATAATGCGGTTGACTCATAATGATGTTCTTAAGCCCAGATAGATGCTGTGTCAGGAAGAACATGTGATGCAAAATCTGTGCCAAATCAAACATACCGATTCTCCCACAGCGAATCATCTCAGAGATTTACCCTTTGAATTTGATTCGATTCAGTTTTATTTATATGCTGTCAAATTACAACAAAGACCAAGACAATAATACATAATACAACCCCAACTTTCAGACAAGCCCTGAACAGCAAGCACTTTGGTGACAGTGGGAAGGAAAAAAACTCCCTTTTAACAGGAAGAAATGTTGAATGCTTATAAATCTCAATTTTTACTAATTTTTGTTTTTTCTTTAAAGTTGTAGGAATATGCTGACCTAGTTTTGTTATGTAAATTTGTAATTAATTTTTGGAACAGTTTTTGGAAAGTGATTGGTTTATTAGCATATGGACCCTCGCATTAATCAAGGGATTAAGAGCACCCTGGAGGGGTGTGGTAAAGAGGTTTTTTGTTTGCCAAGTGTCAGATGGGACGACGGGGGGGTTTAAAAAAAATTTGACCACTTTTTGAAGTTGTGAAAGCAAATTAAGTTAACTTTCATTTAATTTTAAGTTGTAAGAAGTTATTTGGTTGATTTTTGTTTAGAATTTTCCACAAAATAAACGCCATATAATTTTAAACAATGAAGTCAGAATTGCATTCTAAAACAAACCTTCCGTTGCCACCCATGGCCTTTTCTTGGACTTTTTTGGTGTTTGGAGCATAAAAGGCCATGACAACCTGTTCAGGGTCTACCCCGCGTTTTACCCTATGATAGCTAGGACAAGATCCAGCACCCCCTGTGATGATGATAAAGACAACCAGAGGAGACTGGGTGGAAGGATGGATGGATTGACCTTTCTGCAATTCTGAAATCTGTCTAACTTCCCTCTGTGCTGCCTTGATGTTGTCATCTAGTCTTGCTGTTCTTTGTGATTGTTATTAGTCAAGCATATCAGGGATCACTGTAGCTGTGGCATAGACCAGCTAGTTGGTTTCACTAACGGTAATGCTGCATTCACATCTGCTAGTAGACATTTACAGGGTAATTCACGTAATCTTGGTAATAAGCACAGAGGGTCCAGGTTTAGCCAACTTAGCCATGATCTTCTCTTTCAGGTCAACTGCTCTCACATTCAACATACCAGTTGTTTATGGGGCTTGCCAGCTGATCTTGAAGGGTGGAGATAATTATATCTCACTCCTGATTTTAAATCCTGGCTCCACCTTGCCATAGCATTTGTGTTCTACTTCTTCCTTCTCCAGCTGTGATAGCAGTTACTTGCGTATCACTGAGCTACTAGTTGTTTTGATGTTAGTCTAGGTGGGTTTCAATTTGTATCCTCTTCATGTAACCTTCTGGATTAGATGAAGCTTTCACTGAAGTTAAATGTATAGTAGGATTCCAGCAGTTCACTATTCTGATTTGTTGTTCCAGTGAAACCTCTGAGACATACCGATTAGAGGTGTGTCTCAGAGGTTTACTGGAACAACAAATCAAAATCACGAATTTTTCATCACTAGTTGCAGCAAATCTCACGTTGTTTTATTCTGTGCTAAAATGATGACATGGTAATGTAATCAGACTAACACCTTCAATTTTATTTTTTATCCTGCCCAACTCAGGTATATTGAACAACAGAATACCCCCATCTCTAAGTGGAAACAGTACTGCTTCCCAAGATCAACATGCTAGCTACAGGAGTTTGGCCTCTGCTGCTTTTCTCACTTCTTTTGTGTTTCTTTCATTGTGAACATTTACTTGCTTTTTCACTGAAAAACTGCACAATTATCTATACAGAAAAATCTAATGTGTTAGTCACTTGCACAGAGCGTTACCTCACTGCTATTCCAGATGACATTCCCAAAAATGCAGTATTGCTAAATCTCAAGTCAAACTACATTTCAAATATTACCAGGATGAATTTGGAAGGTTTATTCAAGCTTGAAGTTCTAAATTTGGAAAAAAATTGGATTTCACAAATTGATGGTGAAGCTTTTGCAGACTTGGTAGAGTTAAAGGTTCTCATCTTGAGTATAAATAGGCTCGCAACACTGACAGAAAACATGTTTCAGGGTCTTTCCAAGTTAGAGACACTGTCTCTGGACTGGAACCAGATCTCATTTATCTCCCCTGTGGCCTGTCAGCCCCTGGTCAGCGTACACTCAGTAGATTTGAGCTATAACCTTCTGCATCAAATTTCAGATATTGATCACATTATTAGACTCCCAACTTTACAACATTTGTTTGTATGTTACAACAACTTTACTTCTTTTCAGTCAAATGACCTCCATGTAAATACCTCAAACCTACTCACCCTGTGTTTGGATTCAGTGAAAAAGTTCAGCATTACAAGAGACATTTTTCCTCATCTGCAGTCTCTGGACTTGCGAGGCTGGAACGGGGACATCGAGTGGGAAGTGTCAAACAAGACTTTTTTAAAGAGCCTGACGAGACTGCAAATGAGTGAAACTTCTCTTAGCTTTGAAGTGTACAGAGTGATTCTGCAGACTGCTTACTCTCTTCAAGAGTTTCAGATGGATAACATGAAAAAGTGGATAGATGATGATTTCATAGACGTGGCCTGCAAAATTCCTTCTCTTAGAACTCTGAATGTAAGCAGTAGTGAGATTTACACCTTAAAGGAGCACATGCTACAGTCTTGTTCTCACCTAACTAACCTCAACTTATCATTTAACAATATAAAAAGCATGGCTGATAATGCACTCCAGTCAATGACACAGCTCAGGAGCCTGATATTACAAAATAATGAACTGTCCGAACTGCCAGTTGCCATCCAAGGACTCACCACATTGGAAGTCTATGACCTTAGCATCAATGACATCAGTGAACTTTACTGTCCTTACTTCTGGAATTTAACAAGCCTAACAATACTCGATCTGAGCCACAATCATATATCCTATATCTCTGAGTGTGTTTTTGAAAATTTAAACAATTTGAAAATCCTAAATCTTGAAAACAATAAGATTTCATCATTCGATTATTCTTTTAAATTTAAATTACAGACACTGGAGTGTTTGTATTTGAAAAACAATGAGCTTATAAATCTCTTTCAAGGAGTCTTCAGTAATCTGTCTTCCCTTCGTTATTTGAATTTAGATGTACGCATGTGTAACAATGTTGAGGAAGGAGGGTTAAAGGGACTCTATAACCTCCAGTTCCTTCTTATGCAAGGTGATATTTATTTTTATGAGCATTTCAGTGGGCTGCCAAACTTAAGCACTCTGATCTTAAATGTTGTCTCTAGCCTGCCACATAACAGCTCCAAACAAAGCGATAACCCTTTCTCAAATTTACCGAAACTGAAGAAGCTTCATATCAAGGTTCATAGAGGATATTACGATATTTCAAAAGATGTTCTCAGTGGTTTGACTTCTTTAGAGTACTTAATAACAGAGGCATACTTCATGGGATCTTTGCATCCAGACACATTTAAACACACACCGCAACTGAAACGTCTCACAATTACTTACAGCGAGCTTTCCGTTTTAACATCTGACGTGTTCTTGCCAATTCCAAACCTGATAACACTCGACCTCTCCAACAATAAACTCAGGTCTTTGGATTTTCTAGCAGAGGCCAAACTGCCAGTACTCAGATGGCTCGATGTCAGCAACAATGAATTGTTCGTAATCAGTGAAACAGTTATCCAATCCCTTTTAACCATGAAATATCTGGATCTATCTGCTAACCTTTTAACATGTGAATGTTCTAATTACGGTCTTATCCAGTGGATTCAAGGCAGCAAACAGACACAGGTTGTTAATGCACATCAGTACACTTGCTCATTTCCTGTCAGCCAACGGGGAAACAAATTCCTTGACTTTGGTTTTGACTCCTGTTGGATAGATGCTGCATTGCTCTGCTTCCTTTTTAGCTCTAGTCTAGTTGTGCTTACTCTCCTCGCATCCTTCATCTATCACTTCCTGAGGTCACACCTCACCTATACCTACTACCTCTTCCTGGCCTTTCTCTATGATAATAAGAGGAGGAAGAAAGGTATTCCTCACAGCTACGATGCCTTTGTCTCCTACAATGTTCATGATGAAGCTTGGGTCTGTGGAGAGTTGCTTCCAGAGCTGGAGGGTCAACAGGGCTGGAAACTCTGTCTGCACCACAGAGACTTTGAACCAGGTATAGATGCTTTTCATTAGCCTCTGTTCTACTTTTAGCTCAATATTTAATGAAGCTAGCACACAAACTCTGTGTCTTCTTTCCTATAAATACAATTGTTTCTTTTTGTTCCGCTTTTCAGTGGTACCGAAAAAGATCAAGTTTTAACACCACAGTATCTTTTTTTTCTCTTTGACAGCACTGCAAAAATATAAACAGCGTCTACAGTGTCAAAACAAAAATAGCAATGACATGTGACTCACAAACTGCAGTTTGAATGCTAGATCTAAAAGACTGACCATTTAGAGAAACGCTACAAACTGATCTTTAAGCCTCAAAAAGTAGTATATAGATGTGCTACTCAGCTGACAAAGCATCCTACATCTGGGAAAATGAAAGGTTTACTCTGGAAGAACTTTTTTTTTTTTTTGCTGAAACCATGAACAAGCCCCTAGAAGGCCATGTGTACCCAAAGCTTTAATTAAATTGAAAACATCTAAGTTTCTTCCATATTTAAAATCTATAAACATGAAATTACTTTCATTGATTTTGTTTACTGCATTGAAAAGAGAAAAGCACCAAAGATGTATTTTGCACTTACAGGCCTGTAAGAAAATCTTCACTAAATTAGATTTTGGCAAACGTAAAAGTTGAATATTGTAGAATCTTTTAGCAGCTGCCATTAGTAAATTGGGCACTTTTAGACAGACTTTAAAAATGTTTAGCCAGAGACAATCATCCATCTCCACTGTTCTCCATTGAGCTTGTCAACTGTTCCAATCCAACACAAATATATGTAGCTGCCCAATTAACAAAGTATAGACTTAAGAATTTCACAAAAGAAAATTATAGATTCTCATTAGCTGGAATTTGATTCAGCATCAGTGTACGTGTCAGGGTTTCTGGGTCGTTGACCCAGTATTTTCAGTTCATGTTCACTGTTTATCCTCTGTACGTTCCACTTCCTGTTTTGTGTTACGTTACTCTGTGTGCATTATGCTCTAGTTCTTATTCCATGCATCGTTAGTTCAATTGTGTTCAGCTGCTCACTCACCTGTCACCTGTCAGTCATTGTTCAGCCAGTGTATTTAAGTCCTCAGTTCTCTCCTGGTCGGCGTCGCGTCATTGATGTTGTCACTGCTGTCTATGCCCCATGTTTGCCTTCCAAGTTCAGATCAGTCAGCCGTTCAGTCAGTTATTCAGTCAGTCAGCCATCTCCTGTTTTCGTCATTCGTCCCTCACAATAAACACCCTGAATCTTCACCGTGAGTCCTGCGTTTGAGTCCTTTTCTCCACATCCACTCAGCAACCCCTGACAGTACGCCTCAGTGACTTAAAAAAGTTTTTTGCTTACTCACCATTGCTAAAAAAAAAAAAAAAAAAAAAAAAGTACAACCAAAGTTGGAGTGAATGGAATTTAAGCCCCACTATTCTCTGAAGTGAGAACACCTTTGAAATCTTTTAACTTGTACAAAGATAAATTTGATGTAACTTACCTGTGTCATTTTAGAACACAATGCTGACATGTTTGATGTGTCAGATTTTTGTTTTTACAGGTAAGCCCATCGTCGAAAACATTACAGAGGCTATCTATTGTAGCAGAAAGACTATCTGTGTGATCAGCCAGCATTACCTGCAAAGTGAGTGGTGCTCCAAAGAAATCCAGATGGCCAGGTATGGTTACCAACTCTTTGTTCTTACATGTAATGATGTCACCAGTTTCTACATTGATTAATCTGTGTGTGGTGTCTTTAGCTTCCGTCTCTTCAATGAGCACAAGGATGTGATGATCATGGTGTTTCTGGAGGACATACCAGCCAAGCAGCTGTCTCCATACTTCCAAATTAGGAGTCTGGTGAAGAAGCGTAGCTACCTGAGTTGGCCACAGGCTGTTCAGCACACCTGAGTCTTCTGGCAGAAAATACAACAAGCTCTCAAGAGAGAAGAAAACCCTGCTGAGCACAGGTGCCTCCTCACTGGCTACCAGAGAGTCATCCAGTGAGATTTAACCCAGGTGGAAAAATCACAGATTGTATATATATATTGTGTATATTTAAACAGAGCGGTCACGCTAATGCAGGAGTGGCTAAAATGCATTACTTCTAATGCCCAGCAGGGGGAAACTCCTCTGGCTTCAATAAGGTTGCTTGTCGAAGTCTATGGGTAAACATGGTAGCTTCTGGATCAGAGAGGTGAAGCTTCTGCAGAAGTGGATAAACTTGCAGTACTTCTAATGCCCAGCAGGGCTCCTGTGGTTTCAATAAGGTTGCTTGTAGGTGTCTAGTGGCAAACAGCCCTATGGTGCCTTGACCTGTGACCTCAGCAACACTTTGTTGTCTGGTGGACTTTCCTGGAGTGTATGGACTCAGTCAAAAGTGTCAAGTCTTATTTCATGTTGTCTGTTTTATAAATGTAGAACTCAATGTAACAAGAACTATATGTGCATTTTTATTAACACATGTACACAATTGTAACATATTAACGTGTTTGTTGTGCTCATCCTGTCAGGAGTAAATATACTAAATGACATTTCTTGCCATAAAAGTGTGAATAAACTTTTTTCATAGTTGATGTGCTTAGAAATGAAATGCTATTATAATCTGATATAACAAAATAATAATGAGACTGATGAAGAGGAGCACTTACTTGAACTGGCTACAGGCTGTTCAACACACTGGTGAACAGCCTTCTGCCAGAAGACTAAATGTATTTTCTAGTTTATCATCTCATATTATTTGTATTTACAGATATAATTAATTGTGTGTTACAAAAAATATAACATGTATGGTTTCTTGTTACTTGTACTAAACTGTCACACGGTCACATGGATGTATCCTTGCTGTGCTAATGCTTAGGCAGCACACTGCTGGTTTCCTTGATACGTCACCTGACTATCACACTACCTGAGGGCTGGAGTGACAGTCAGCAGCAGCAGTGTTTCGGTAGCTCATGCTTTTTTGTTGTTTTTTATTGATGCTCTGATGATGTGGAATGGTATGAGTTTTTGTACTATATCATTTTACTGGCATGTGGAAAGTGTGTTTAAAATAAAGGTAATTCAGTGGTTTGTCTCTTTACAGAAGTTTCAGAGTTTTGAAATAGGTTCAAGGTTCCATTATCATCATGAAAATTAAGATAAATAATAAACAATAAAATAAACTGCCTGTCACCAACATAAAACAACTATAGTGCAGCATATTGAAACATTTAAACTGGAGCAGCATTTTAGAATTATAGCAGCACAGTGACAGCATTTAAAAAAACACACAAAAAACAGATTAGTGTGCTTAAATACAAAGAATAGTAGCATAGTAGAAGCATAGTAAATAAAATAAAACCGAACAAAAACAGTGCAGCGCATCAGAACAACTGAGTTATCAGTGAGCAATGGAGTTGATCAGTCTTACGGCCTTAGAGCCTCCTGCCTGTGTGGTGGGAGGGTATCAGTTTATGATACTGACCGCAGTGCACTGTGTGAATGCAGAAGTCTTGGGTGCAAACTGTACAGCTTCCTCATGAAGTGCTTCATTAAACATTGATCTGAAGTGACTCAAATGAATTTGACAAAGTGAAACTTAATAATGGTAATAAGGTCACAGGCCTCACTTTTGCCATCGAACAGCTTGTCAGTCGATTCTTATCAACTGTGAACCCCTGAAAATGGAAAACTGTATATTAAAATGTCTCTAATTTCTAAACACTTAATGCAATACTTTAGTCAAACTTTGAATCAAAGGTGAAAGACTGCACTGTAATTACATCTTGATTGTTTGATTTTAATTCCCCTGTCGTCTGGAAATGCAGTTTCTCTAATAAAGGATAGAATAGAATAGAATAGAATAGCGCTTTTATTGTACATGTACAACTAAATTATGGAATTATGGGTGCTCCACGACATCTGTGTAGGAATAAAATATAAATAGACACCAGGAATAAATAACAAACAGGAGAAATGTAGATATAATCAAGAGAAAGACACATTGGAGAACAAAGTGTTTGGAAGTAGTACAAGTTATTGAGTTATGGGGGTTAGTCACACAGATTGGTGAGGTGAGTGGGCAGGGGTAGCATTGGGGGGGGGTGTAAGGGGTGTAAGGGGTCACCTGTGACAGCACTGTTTTTCCTGAGATAGGAGGATCTGCGGATTTTTTTGGGCAATGTTAATTACACTTTGTGTGGCCTTCCTGTTCTCCTCGTGGCCCCTGTGTACCAACCCAGGCAGTAGAAGAGCAAGCTGTTGGGTCTGTGCTTTCAGCAGGCCCGCTAGTTCAGAGCAGGGCTGGACTGGGACAAAAAATTGGCCTGGGCATTTTGACTGGTGACCGGCCCTTTGAGCGAGTACTTGGTGACTGTGGAAAGGAAAAACCCAATTTTAATAGAAATAAGCCTCCAGCAGAACCAGGCTGAAGAAGGGACAGTCATCTTCTGTGAACAGCTGGGGGTTTGAACACCCCATTATGAACATTGTATCATTTGTCTTATACTAAATTCAAGTAATGGAGGGAAGACAGAACCCTGAATGCCTGATTTCACAGACGTCATCTCCCAAATTCCTCCTCTAGTAGTTTTTGATGTAATATTTGCGAAAACTGGCGCTCTAAATGACATCCTGCTAAAGTCTTGGTCTAATCTCACTGAGCGCAGTTACTTGGTCCCAGTTGCTCTCTTTGACCTCAACTCTTAGACCTGAGCTTCAACATTTTCAGCGAACTAACATACTGAAAATCAATTACATTTTCAAAATCTGAACAATTTGACAGTTTTGAAAACAAAATCTAAGTTTATTTGTTGGTAAAACCTTAAATTTATAAAACCTGCAAAAAACAAAGCTTTTAAAAGGGTTCAGGCATTTTTTTTCACCTTTGTGACTCACATGCTGCCATTTTCTGTGGCTAGACAAGCTTAATAATGGCATCATCCTTGTCAAATGGGGATAGATACATACCATTGTCTTGGACACCCCTGGGTGAGGAAACTTTTGTGCAGTAATGTACATGACATTTCACACAGGATATACAGAAACATGAAGTATTATTAGTGAGTGTTCTTAAAGACCACAAAGTAGAAACAGGAAGCAAGCAACCCACTTGTGCACACAAGCCTTAAGATATTCACTTAAGATGTGAGGGCAGGGAGGATGGCTGCAGAGCACAACTTGTCTGGACTTCAAAAATGCTAAAATGATTAAATCAATTAAAAGATCTCTTTGAAAAATCCCTTTCAATAAATAAAATTGGACAACGGTCGAGGCTCATCTAAAATACTGGGGAAAAAACCATGAAAAAACAAAAGGAAAAACGAAGACAAGCATGCAAGCTGCAGAAAGTAATTTTTTTTCATTGTGGTGTCTTACTTCATGGACCAGTCATACTTGGGTTTGAGTAGACAGACTGCAGAAGTAGCAGCATCTGTGGGAGTGAACCATCCAACTTCCTCTTCCTTGTACAAGTGATTCACTCTGAATTTACTCCATTATATTTTGTCCGTTTGACCTTAATGGTTATAGCTTGGTTTTTTCTTTTGTTCTGTTATCAAGCTGGTGACAGAAACAACTCTTTTTTGGAATAGGTAAGTTTCTTTTATCTTGTTTAATGAAAAACCACTGACCTTGCATATATATATATATATATATATATATATATATATATATATATATATATATATATGGTCAGTTTTAATGCAAATAACATTTACTTTGCAAAAACAATTTAAACTGGACTTTTTTTTATTAGAGATGGAACAACTTAACTCTAAAAATGGTATATTAAAAACAAATTAGCCATAGTCTGATTTTATTTATATTTTATTACTGAATTACTGCAATTCTAATGAAAATATGTGAGAAAATTCAAAATTATCCTCAGGTGGAGTTAATTTAAGTGTAAACTGTTGGACTGTGTTGGTACATTTACACGTCATATGACACAAACAACAGTAAATAACTATAGGTTAAGCAGTATGCAGGTTTGTATTGTGTTATCTATGGTTTGTGGGTATGGTAGTTGCAATTCTGTATTTTTCAGAGTTTGGGTATCTACTTCCATGTACTTTACACTACATGTTTTCTGAGAATCCATAGCATGAAATAACTTTAGGCTGATGAGTGACTAGAAAGTAGAGGTTAAGCAGTATTAAAGCAGGCAAGTTATTTCATTTTGAACAGCAACTGCTCTAGGTTACCAAGCAAGCAAGCAAAAAGTGTTACATACAAGGAAACCTTTATGTAGCACCTCATCTCTGCTGCTTCATATTTGTTCCCTAAAATGGGGCCATCTGCTTGGCCTAGCTCTGCTAGTTCACTAATGTCAAGAAAAGAGTTTTTGGGGGTTCTTTTAATCAAAATAGGGGTTTTTTTTTTTTTGGGGGGGGGGGGGGTGTTAAAAAAAAGAAACTGACTGTATATTAAAGTGACACTAACGTAGGTATGTACATTTTTTATTAAGTCCATGCCATCACCTATGGATATCTGTAAATCTAACCCTTTGCCATGACTGTAAATACACTGGCTAAGCATCATTTTTAAATGTGAACAGTGAAGCTTCAAATGGATGACTGTGGACGTCTCATATACGGCCCCTGGGCCACACCCAGCTCCTGACACAATTATATCTGGCCTTTGAGATAAATTCATGTGTCATGTGTTGTTAATGGCTCGTTGGTATGTGAGATTTGAAACTTCAGCCCTGCTAAAAATCCATGCAGACAGGGGAGAGAATTTTTTTTTATGGGCACACCATGCAGCCAATCACATGCAAAGACAGACTGGGGTCATGCCAATATGTGGAAGAAGGAAGGGGGGTAGACATTCTGAAGACACCGAGTGTAGTGGCACAGGCCAGGTAGACAGAGAGAAGGGGAATGCATATGTGTTGGGAAAAAGTGAAGAAATGTAAAAACGTAAAGTGAGCATCATCTGGCTGCAATTCAGTGACATTGCAGACTTCAAAGCTGGGTGCAGAATTTATCCAATTAGGAGCTGGCTATTTTTATTTTCAGTCATTTTCCAATGTGAAGAACAAAAGGTTTCAAACTTGTCCAGGCCTTAAATCTCATTTGTTCCCCCTAGTAGTAGTAAATGTATACAAAGGCTTTTATGAAAACACTGAATAAAAAATTGCTTCCTTGAAAAAGACTAAATGTACAGATCATTATTGAATATTACATAAAATAAACAATATAAAAACTATATACAAAGTGTCTTTGAATACCAGACGTCATGTTGTTGCTATCTGTGGTGTGAACGCTGAATGGTTAAGAGTAATTTCTTCTCCTGTCATTTTCAGATGTTATGAACAACTATTTTTTTTGCCCCTTCCAAGTTTGTCAGAAAACTGAAACTGAAGTAAACAACATTTCAACATGCTAGCTACAGGAAGTGTGTCTCTGCTACTCAGCTCATTTCTGTTCTGCTTCTGTTTCTATAACCCCTCACATGCTTTTTCACTGAAAAACTGCATAATTCCCTATCCTCAAGAGGAAAATAATACATCCATTTTATGCACAGACCATGACCTCACTGCTATTCCAGATGACATTCCCGGAAATGTAACATCACTGAATCTCTCCTCAAATAAGATTTCAAACATCACCTGCAAAGATTTAAGAGGTTTAGCTAAGCTCAAAATTTTAAACGCTGAAAGTAATGTGATTGTACACATTGATGATGGAGCTTTTGCAGACTTGGCAGAGTTAACGGTTCTAGTCTTGGCTAGAAATAACCTCTCAAAGGTGACAGAAAATATGTTTCGGGGTCTTTCACAATTAAAAGAATTATCTCTGAATAAAAACATGATCTCATCCATCTCGCAGGCGGCCTTTCAGTCCCTGATCAACATAATCTCAGTAGATCTGAGCTACAATTCTCTGTCTGAAATTGCAATTATTGCTCCAGTATTAACACTTCCACACTTACAAAATTTGTGCATTGGGGGAAATGATTTTACTTCTTTCCAGTCCTCCGACCTGCCTTTAAATAGCTCAAACATTAGGGAACTGGATATAATTTGGTGTAAACTCAGAAAATTCAGTATTACAAAAGACATGTTTCCTCATCTGCAGTTACTGGACTTCAGGAGATGTAATAGTAAGATTGAATGGAATGTAACAAACAAAACATTCTTGAGGAGCCTAACTTCCCTCTACTTGGATGGGAATAATGTTACTTTTGAGGCATACAGCAAGATGCTAAAGACTGCTGCCTCACTTAAACATCTTAAACTGTACTTCATGAAAATTCCGATAAAACGTGGTCTTATAGATATTGCCTGCCAGATTCCTTCTCTACACATTCTCGATATAGGGAGTAGCAAAATTACCCACGCAAATGATAACCTGCTGCGGTCTTGCTCCCAACTTACTGAGCTTAGTTTACCTTTTAATAAGATGGAAACAATGTCTGATCATGCACTCCAATCAATGACACAGCTCAAGCACCTGGACCTGCAGAAGAACGTTTTATCCAAAGTGCCGCTTGCTCTCCGGGGACTCTCCAAATTGGAAGTTCTGGACCTGAGCTTCAATGTCATCAGCGAACTCAACAGCTCTGACTTTAATCATCTGAGGGCACTCAGACACCTCAATCTAAACCACAATCGCATTTCCCGAATCACACCGCATATTTTTCAAAATCTGCCTAATTTGAAAGTCCTGAAAATAGAAACGAATGGAATTTTTTCTTTTGAGCATAGCTTCAAAGGAAATTTAGAAAAACTAAAATATTTGTATTTGAACAACAACACTTTGGCAGATTTACAGGAAGGAGACTTCAAAAAACTCCATTCCCTCGATCACTTGGAATTACAATCAGATGACAGTTGCATTGATCATTCGGGAATATTTGAAGAACTTAAAAGTCTCCAAACTCTTAAAGTGTCATGTAGGGGTTACGTAAAAGAGTATTTTAGGGGACTAACAAACTTAAATACTCTGGTCTTCCATATTACCAAAAATCAGAACATACAACATCATGCACATCCTTTCTTATATTTAACCAAATTGAAGAAACTTATTATCTTTGATAAAAGGGAAACTCACGAGGATATTCCGTCAGACGTACTTAGTGGTCTGACATCTTTAGAGTACTTATGGATGGAGAAATTTTTTATGGGGTCATTGCACCCCGACACATTTAAATACACCCCCCAGCTGAAGTCTCTGAAGATATCTAATAGTGAGATTTCAAATTTAACATCTGAAGTGTTCTGGCCTGTCCCAAACCTGACAATGCTCGACTTCTCTAACAACAAACTCAGATCTTTGGATTTCCTGGCTGATGCCAAACTGCAGGCACTCACCTGGCTGAAACTCAGCGACAATACATTGACACTAGTCAGTCAGAAAGTGATCAACTCCCTCCATGCTTTGACCTATCTGGATCTAGCTTCCAACCGCCTAACATGTGAATGCTCTAGCATTGATTTTAATGAGTGGATTCAAAACAGCAGCCAGACACAGATCGTTAATGCTCACCAGTACACTTGTGCATTTCCTGTGAGCCAACAGGGGAAAAAATTCCTTGACTTTGAAATCGACTCCTGTCGGAGGGATGCTAATTTTCTCTACTTCATTTCTAGCTTTTTTCTAGTTGTGCTTACTCTTCTTATATCCTTCATTCACCACTTCCTGAGGTGGCACCTCACCTATACCTACTACCTCTTCCTGGCCTTCCTCTATGATAATAAGAGGAGGAAGAAAGGTATTCCTCACAGCTACGATGCCTTTGTCTCCTACAATGTTCATGATGAAGCTTGGGTCTGTGGAGAGTTGCTTCCAGAGCTGGAGGGTCAACAGGGCTGGAAACTCTGTCTGCACCACAGAGACTTTGAACCAGGTATAGATGCTTTTCTGATGACTATGAAATGCTGGAAATGAGAAGCCGAAATGTTGATTCTGACTGTTTGAGTCAAAGTCCTGCTCGTTCTTCTGCATCGCTCACTTCCTCTTAATATCTTTGTCAGCAATTTAAACTTCTTTTTTTCAGACTTGGTTTGGACCCATTTCTGTTTTTCATTTCTATATTTGTTAAGTGTTACGTTTTTATACCAAATAATGTGAAATCAGCACGACAGCCAGTGCAGAATTTCCAAAACCAGCAGACACAAATTAATCAGGACCAAGAATTATTCTTTTAATTTCACAAAGAATTCACCTGCCATTTCTATTGTGCATTTTTAAAACAGGTAAGCCCATTGTAGAAAACATCACAGATGCCATCTATAACAGCAGGAAGACTATCTGTGTGATCAGCCAGCATTACCTGCAGAGTGAGTGGTGCTCCAGAGAAATCCAGATGGCCAGGTATTGTCAACATCTTTGTCCTTGCACCCGATGATGTCACTATGCTCCTATGCTTATTCAACTGTCTGTTCTGTTCTGTGTGTGGTGTCTTTAGCTACCGTCTGTTTGATGAACATAAGGATGTGTTGATCATGGTGTTTCTGGAGGACATACCAGCCAAGCAGCTGTCTCCATACTACCAAATTAGGAGTCTGGTGAAGAAGCGTAGCTACCTGAGTTGGCCACAGGCTGTTCAGCACACTGGAGTCTTCTGGCAGAAAATACAACAAGCTCTCAAGAGAGAAGAAAACCCTGCTGAGCACAGGTGCCTCCTCACTGGCTACCAGAGAGTCATCCAGTGAGATTTACCGAGGTGGAAAAATCATAGATTGTATATATCAATCAATCAATCAAGTCAAAATGCAGTGAAAGTGGACCCCTTCCCACCATAGATACATAGCACAAACATCACATTGGAAGACAGGTTGGAGAGAGGTAGAATGGTAAGAACAACAATGAAAAATAACATCAGGGACAAAAGGAGGAAAAACAAACTCTACTCAAACTGAGCTACTAACTGGTAGAGCAGTTTGAGGACAGTAAAAAAACACCTCAGCGCAGAAAAGCACATGAATCTTCACATCTTATACCGTGTAAGAAGGATGCGACATGCAATGGGGGGAAGCCATCGCCAGCTTATTGCAAACAAACTGCATTCCAGTTTCACTTCAATTTCAATGGTTCTAAAAGGGAAAACAGCCCTGTGCTGCCTTGACCTGTGACCTCAGTGAACACTTTCTGGTCTGGTGGACTTTCCTGGAGTGAATGTGCTATTTACTTTTTCTTTTTCTTTTTTTGCCATTAAAGTATAAATAAAACTTTTTTTCATCATTGATATGCTTGAAAGAAATGCTATGATAATATGTGTTATAACATAGCAACATGGTAAAGCTGTAATAAAGGCAAAACAATGTTTTTACATGACAGTAGTTACATGTTTTATTTACTACATAATTTTCAGTGTTTCCATTAACAGCACCAAAAATGTTTTTTTTAAAAAATCATAACCATAAATTCATAATGGTGTTGTTCTTTTCCCCCCTATAATTTATTGTGATAGGTTTAAGCACAGTACGAGATCCAAATGTTCTAGCCTAACTGCCCAGTAGCGACCATATTTTAGGTAAATTTTATTCTAATTCAAGTTACTTTCAAATCTGGGACTCTATGTCCCAGATTTGAAAGTAACTTGATAGACACCCACCATTGACAATTAGTAGGTGTTGGGGATGATAGCCACGGTTTCAGGTCAAAGTATGTCACTTCTGTCACAGTTTACAGATAAATATTTTAAAAAGATAATAAAAAAGCTAACGTTTTATCAGACAGTAGCCAACGGTTTTGAAACAACTCTTGAGAAAATCTGTTCCCTCTTTAATTCTCCACAAAGAAGTCTTACCTGTGTTCTCAAACTTGATAGGCCAGTACAACTCAAACAAACAAAAAAGCTACCGAAAGGATTGTCTTTGCGTACAGATCCTGCGTATTCGTGTGTGTGTTAGTTTGTCACCTAAAAATTAAATACTAACAAAACAGGTTTTTGTGTGGGGCCTGCTGACAGCAGTCTCCAGCTACATCAGCGGTTCTCAGATGATGTGCTGAGGCCTTGGATTTTTTTTTTTTATATTTAACACAACATTTATAATCAAGTATATATTCATACTTTCCAGACACTCCTTTGCCAACACTGAATTTAACAAAAGAAAATGAAAAAAAAGTCTGAGAGTTTTTGGTTTGTAAGTCTGAAAACAATCACAAAGGGTCTGATTGTGTGAATAAAAAAAAGTATGTTTATTATTTCAAACAGATACTTTTAAGTGCAACAGTGTAATTCATATACTCATATAAAAGGAAAGGAACGGCCAACTTTACTTCAGACTGAAGCCATAGTCGCACAGAAAAACAAGGCTGGGCTCGTGATGCATATTCTTTAATCGGTGATAAAATTGTGTTTTCAGTCACTAACTCTGCTCATATTCGTCCAAAAACACTGCACATACAATATTGGAACACATCGTAATTGTCTAAATGCCTCAGCTCAGAGAAGTCCGAATCCAGATTACTAATTTTCAGACTAACTCATCCTGACTTGTCATTTCTGTTTCCATGAATTGACCGGTTGGATAGAGATTAGACCATTGTCCAGAAGAAGGGTGAATTGTTGGTCCAATACATCCATTAATAGACACTTTCAACTGTGGAATTAAAAGTAATGGACATGGTCGTTGTTTGTGTACTGCAACTTGGAAACAAAGCCAGAGATTTCTTGCTCCCCTCACCTGTGACTCTCTATTCATATTGGGCTTCAACGATTCTGGAAATCTGTTTTCTTAAGCTGTAGTTGTAAAGATGCAACCTTGGCTCTGACATGACTGGAGAAAAATGAGCTCACAGAAACAGGAAGGATTTGGAATTACGTTCATTCTATGATGAATGGGTGGATGACTGGATATGTAAAGCGCTTTGGGGTCCTTAGGGACTAGTAAAGCGCTATATAAATACAGACCATTAAGTCCAGCACTCCCAAACAATCCCAGTTTCTCATGGGAAAATTATTTTCCCACCTCTACTCTAATGGTGTATAAACTAGTGGTAAATTAATCGATTGTAAACATAATTGTAAAAAAAAAAACCCAAATCTTCAAACTTCTAAAGTTCTGAAAGGTTCACTGAGCTTTAAGTCATTTACCAGGCAATATATGTATGTCATTTGTCGCCTTCTTTAATAGCAGGTAAAATGTCATCAGTACCTTTTTTTACTCGCACAATGTGATGCTTAATGGGGCACATGTGGGCACTTGTGTGTGTAGGTGGTGGAAACCATGGCCACATTCGTGCGGAGATGAATTTGCTGAAGCCAGAAGAGAAATGAGGAGGTAAAAACTGAAAGTACAACACCATCTACTGGCTAACATGAAGCAAATAATAAAAGGAGTGCTGGCTTTTTATCTATGTAAAGGCTTAATTTCAGGACAGTTGTGCTGCCTTGATGTCATACAATCATTGGTGCTTTTTTGCCATTTTAACTTATTTAAAATGAGAAAAAAAAGTTTTGTTTCCTTTGCATCCTTTCATACTGAGTAAGACACTTAACATCAAGTAGTGAATTAGTAAAGGTGAACACAAGTTATAGTAAAATGCTATCCAATGACATCCAAAATTCTTAATGTTTACCTTGAATAGATTTAAATTATTTTCTTCTTGCAGAGGTTTCCTTACAGAGCAGCAATAAGGAATGCCTGATTCTGTATTACCTGAAGACCAGTGGAAACCAACCAGCTGCCATGCTGAGTCTTGAGGAAAGCTGTGACTAGAGTTTCTTTGTAGTTCTGTACGGTTTCTGTTGGGTCTGTGTTTCCACAAACCCCACTAATTCTAGAGACTTATTCATCATGAAGAAAACAAGACAGTCGATCGATCGATTATTTGCGCAAGGGAGGCCTCGTCTGTGTCCACCACGAAAATGACCACAGATCTGACCTCCTCCTGCTGCCTTTTAATGAGAGACAGTTCACACAAAACACGTCAGAACAAAGCCACGCCCCCTTGGTTCTAAGACAAAGCATTTTATGTATATGGTTGAAGTTCTGTAAGAATGTGTGTGTGTGTGTGTGTGTGTGTGTGTGTGTGTGTGTGTGTGTGTGTGTGTGTGTGTGTGTGTGTGTGTGTGTGTGTGTGTCAGACCTCCTGCTGACCAAAGGGTCGTAAACCCAGGAAGCTTACGTCAAAAGAAACAGATCTTTCAGATAGGATGTATCTACAATAAAACCTCCCCCAGCACAGAGTGGTTGGAGAGGTGGTCAGGATCAAAGGAATGGCTTTGATCCTACTGCTTGAACTAAGACTGTACAAATTTAAGAAACACAATGGCAACATTCAGCAATTAGACTTAACAGTTTCTGTTCTACTTCCAGTCTTAAAATTGAACTACCAAAAACAAGTCAAACCACCCCCTTGTAGTTTCATGTACAACAGAAACCAAATAAAGTCTGTGGTTCTTGTTCATTAACTTTGTTTGAAAAGCATAAAAATGAGCTTCCATTTATTTTCATCTGAAACAAAACAAAATTATAGCAAAAAAGTAATGCTTAATGTAAAAAAAAAAAAATCTAACGACAATAATTACAAATAATAATAAAAATAGTTAACTGGATTATGTGTTTTGTAAACAATACTATTCACTTGAAAAGCAGGAAACAAACCAAACCAGTAAAATGAAGGAAAATAAAAATTATATGGTACTAACTCTTTGTATTAGAGATACTAATGTTGGCTATTGTCCTTGTTCAGACTTGAAAACCACCAACGGGCCATCTAAATAATAACACCTTATTGCATGCATTAAACCAACTATAACATCTGGATGCACAGATCAACATTAGAAGGTGAGGGGTTTAGTCTGTTTGGCGAATGCATGGTTTGGTTTGGGTTTTGTTTAGTATATAACTGAAACAAAAACCTGGGGCAATTCTGTCCTGAAAAAATAAAAAGAAGGTTAGGGACTTGGAACAAAAAGTCACAAAATCTAAAAGAGCAGATAACAAAAAAGGCAAAAACAGAAGCAGGAAACATGGAAAGACACAAAACAGAAGTGAGGTAAAGTTGAAGAAGAAGGAGAAGACTTTTGTAAAGAAGCCAAACAAATGCAACGCGAGAAGGGGGGGGAAAACAAAAAAAACAAAAACTGGGCAACCAATCAAACCACAGCGTACAAGAAAAATACCTAAACAAAAGAGCCAATCGGACGTCATTACTGGCAGTGACACAACAGTCCCCCCTTTGACTTTTTGAAAAACTCCTTTTCCCCCCGTCAGTCTTCTAAAGGATCTCAACTTCCCCGTGTTATACGTATAATTACTGCCAATCACAAGGTTTGTATCGTGGAATCACAGCCTCCTAATCTCATTTATGATTGGTAGTCTTCACCATTTCACATCAATGTGCAACATTCTCATAGTTAGATGATTACCTCTAAATTAAACCTTTGTGATCACAAAAAGCAAGTTTATTGAGATTACTTTGTTTCTTTTGTATTCTCAAATAATTACATGAAGCTGATTACAAAAATTTATTATTAATTAAAACATAGGTCCAAAATGAGAGTTGCAATTTTCTGTCCATGTCTTCAACAGCAGGAAATGTCAAAGCTCCAGAAGTTTTCGGGTTTTGTTCCCTGTCTGATGATGAATCAAGTCATCATTTTTAATTAGGAAATAATCTTTATTAAAGCATTCATATTAAATTTAATGTGAGCAAGAAAACTTAATTTTCCCAAATATTTCTTAATTTGAAATAATGTATT